AGAAATGATGCCGAAAGAAATAGAAACGCATTATTTTTTTTATTTTGTTGGATTGGTACCCCTTGCTTTTTTGCTGTCAACGGTATCCGTCAAATCAAAACTAAACATAACCTGTAAAGTGTAAATAACGTACGAGGAACTTGACCGATTGTATTAATTCCGATTAATTTTGAATATATACTCCAAAGGGTAGAACTTTTTTTATTTTTACTTAGCGTAGTAAATATGCCAGCAGTACATTCTTGCTTACTTTTTGAACTCCCCTTCTCGGCCAGCCAGTTTGCAAAAATTTTGTACTCCTCGTACTTTACTTTCGATTTTACAGGCAGTAAATTTAACGTCGCTTCATTGGCAATCTCTTGGATCTCTGATGGGGTACAAGAGACGTGTCTGTCATCCGTATTCATCATAACTGCCGCAAAATGGAATTATGACCAAATACCTAATTAAATGTTTGAAGTTTGAAAATACAGGAATCAGGTTAGCCAACGTGAAAATAAATGAATTGTGTCTATTACCAACATACACTGAATGATAGTTTAAAATTACCTAACAACGCCTAAAGGCAATATTTATAATTTGTATAATTTATTATTTAAAATAAAAGTCGAAATAGAAAAAATAGTATAAAGCACACGTGTCATTTATCTACTTGTCGCACTCGGCTTTTGCCGCATTCGCCGCTACGCGGCTTATGCGGCAAACTACCTCGTGCGACAATCTTCGTCAAATGACACTTGTACTTTAATATACTATTTTATTATACCTGCAGTATAATTTAAAAATAGGAAATACAATCAAGTCATATTGACGTTATACTCGAATACATGTCTAAGTGGGCTGGGTGTTCGTATTTCACGATTGCCATGGAAATGTCACTTGACGTTTGCTTATAAAAATCATCGTCTTTGTGAATTAAACGATTTCCGTTGAAAAAGATAATACACCGTGCATTCAATCGCTTGTTGTAAAATCTAAACAAACGTTGGTAGGTGTGAAATCCAAATCCAGTAAAGCCTATTATAAAGAATACGAAAAGTTGTTTCCTTGGATGAATAAGAAGTTACTTACGAATAAAGTCTTAAATGCATCGATAATGCTGGCATATATGAAGGAAATGTCAAAGGTATTTAAATCTTCTATATTTTGGTGCATTCATTCAAAACTTTAAAGCAATGCTGCGATTAAAACGTGGAACAAATTTGGAAGCATATCCTAAATTACGCGCGTTTGTGAAAGCTTCAACCAAAGGATAGGTACAAAACCCAAAGAAATGTTCTGCATTTACAGATAGCGACCTAAGAGGATTTTTTATTTCATCCAGATGACAGTTTCAAAAGTCATACTTGAAGTATCGTTACTTAGCAACTTTAAAGCACGTGTGTTTTAAAGGCCCTTTTTCGCACGCATTTGAGTGTTTAAAACGGAGATTGTGATTAAGGTATAATAAAAAATACATTAAATTAATAGAAAATTTGAGGGGAAGTTCTGCTTCGAAGTAATTCTTCTCAGCTGCTCTTACACTTAACCTCGTTGGCGGCATACTAAAAATATACAAATACAGCTTTAAACTTAAACTTACTATAACATAATCATCATGGAAAAAAAAAACAAATGCGAGAAAGAGATGGAAATGTTTGCTTTTATGTGTTCTACTTTGTAGCACTAGTACTTAGGTGTTCTTTTACTTTCTTCCGAAACCTGGATAAAGGTAACAACTTGAGATTATGAGAGAGATCGTTGTAAATAATGTGCAATGCAGTAGGAAAATGATCTGCGCCCTAGTTCTGTTTTAATGACTGGTATACTTAACTTGCCTCTGAATCTCAAGTTCAGGTGGTGTACGTCCGTGCGGTAACTTATTTTTTCTATTTCGGTGTCACAATGATGATTTTGTACAACAGTTGTACAAAGACAGTGATTATAGTCGTTTTTTTTGGTAACTAATCTCTTAAGTTGGCAATTACTAGTTAGTACAAGTAGGTACTTTGTTGGGTACTTCCATGTTTGAACTTCAAAATGTCAGTCTTACTACGCTGCCAACCTAAAACTTAACGGCATAAAAAGTGTTCCCAACATAAAACATGTTAGTTCTAATGTTCCCTATAGTTTCTGATAATGATTTTTTTAATTAAATTAAAGCACCGAAATAGAAAAAATAGTATGAAAAACGCGTGTTACAATGCTTTATTGTAATACTCCTATCTTGCGGACACTCGTGGCTACGCTTCGCGTCGCCACTCGTGCCACAAGATAGTCGTATTACAATAGGTCGCATTGTAACACTTGTCTTTCAATATACTATTGTTGTATAAGTATGGAGGCGTTTTGGTTGAAATTATTTTGTGATAGAAACACAGCATGTGTAGTTTTCGACGGTTGAGCATGTTTAGCCAATCGACTTCTATTAGTGTATGGGAGATTCTGTGATACTTTTTAATGTTAAAGTTAGCAGTAGCTTGCATGAATATTCCATTAGACATTTTGCCATATGCACGTTTGCATACCGAATTCATTATCATTGCTACATTACCGATTATACAGCTGTACATTGTACGGTGGGCTAGGTTGCGTTATTTGAGTATTCCTGTTGAATTTATAATTTAGAAATTACAACAATTGCTTTGGGTTTAGTGGTAACGTGGTTCCAGTAGCTTTGGGAAGGTTAACCGTTAGCTTTGCTCTATATAGTTGTCCAGGTCTCAGAGAGGGATTGCCGTACACCGGAACGCTGGTAATTCTAAGGAAAAACAGTTTATTCATCCAATCACTCATTTATTCGCCGTTAGTCATTCACCTTATCTGATTAATTTATGTGCAAGCAAGAATCATAATTTTCTGTTTATTGAACTGCTACACCATCATAAGCGTTGATTATTATTTATATTGTTATCGTGCCTATGAATGATTTGTTATTTTCGATTTGTGTAAATAAAAAGTACCAAACGTTGCTGGATTGTTTTTTTTCTGTACAGTCTTGTGGCGACGACTCGTGGCTACTGGAATTCAGAGTTATCCAGTAGTTGCAAGGTTTTGTACACTTAACTCGTTAAAAATTGTAACTCTGTGGCGCTCGAACATTTTTATTTTTGAACTCGCCCACCCTCCGTGGAAGCTAGTTGGCGAATTGAGAGCACCTTGACTGACTTAAGAGCGTTACAGCTCTTTACTAGCAACACAGATGGGGTCGAAGGGCTACTGGGGATGGTTCAATTATTCCTTGACTGGCCATGTCGCTGATTGTCTTCTCCGATTGATCGTGTTTAACCCATGGTAGTCTTCACAGATGTTGAATGGATGACTTAATGTATCTACGTTTCTTAGAAAATTTAGAAAATAATGAACATGTCAACCGTATTCAGAATGTGTTTGAAAACTATTGAGGAATTGAGTGATGAACAGTTTATAAAAATGTTTTATCTAAAGCCGTATACAGATGTAAAGAATGCACGTGCGTTAATGAACGCCCTTTTCTGCCCTTTTCACCATCAGGAACAAATCAAGCTGGACGAACACAACTTTTGACAAGTACCCAATATACAGTGTGTAAAGCGATGGGGTATACAAGAGGGAATTTTTTTTAAATATTGATTTATGAAAAAAATTCATTCTTCATGATATTTTTTGCTTGCTTTGAAAGTACCAATAATACTTTTCGATTGTTTGCGGTTTGATAGCAATACGCTATCTTGATTATAATGTAGAATGATAACTTTCAATAAAAAAAATTTAATTTTATTATTTTTCCAGATTTCTATAAATAAATTTTAGATTATCGAAACGTTATTGGTACTTTCAAAGCAAGCAAAAATTATCAGGAAGAATAATATTTTTTCATAAAGCAATATTTAAAAAAAAATCCCTCTTGTATACCCTATCGCTTTACACACTGTATAGTAAACTATTATTCGGAAAGGTAAAAGCACAACCGACGCAATTGTCGTTTTTGTTTCCTTCACACTTACATGCTTTGAAAAAGCAGAATTTTCAATGTCGACGTTTTGTGATCTAAGTAAGGCGTTCGATTGCATTTCACACAACGTCCTTGAAAGTAAATTAATCGATCTCTGTTTGATCATACTTGTGCAAAAGGTATCAATGTGTTGAGTGGGGAAATAAGATTTCAACGAAACGCGTCATTGAATACGGAGTACCACAAGGATCTACACTAGGCCCGTTACTCTTTTTAATTTATGTAAATGACTTGGGATCTTCACTAAATACGCTCGGCTTGGAATCAAACTTAGTTTTGTTTGCAGACGTTATAAGCGATAAACTATTGCATAATGCCATTTGCAAGGAGGACCTACTCCTTCTACATGCGACCCAATGGTTCCAATCAAATAATTTGCTGCTAAATTCAGAGAAAACTAAAACCATATGTTTTACTTCAAAGCCTTTGCATGACTGACTGGCGAATTCATCGATCAAGTTTTTGGGTTTGAATCTTGACCCGAGTTTTAACTGGCAAAATCATATCGACATTCTTGCGACTCATGTTTCACCAATTGTTCTTCAGCCGGCGTATTTCGGCACTTGCCATAGTGCCATATCTTATGCAAGTGGCCTGGGGGCATCAAGCCTGTACTAAGAGGCTATTTAGACTACAGCGGCGTGCAGTACGCATTATAAGTAATTTGACCTATCGTACTGATTGCAGGAATTGGTTCATTGACCTAAAAATTTTCAATGTCTGATTTATGTAAAAAGAAACTTATTAATGTATAAGTCAAATTCAAGTGACCATCAATACTCCACCAGGAAGAAAGAGGCGACATTACGTCTGGAAAATTATAAATTAACAAAGTCACTAAATGGACCGAACTATTGGGGAATAAAATTTTATAACGCCTTAAATGAAAATCTAAAAACCATGGAATTATGCCAATTTAAACTAGCGATAAAAGAAATTCTCATTCAAAGTGCGTTCTACAACTTTGGGGAATTTTTGGTATTTTTTTTTTTTTTTTTTTTTTTTTTTTTTTTTTTTTTTTTGAGGGCATTAACTGCTATGGTCATATTACCCCAATTAGGGCGCCCCCAAATCTCTCACTACACTTTAGATCTGTCTGTATATACCTATTTCTCTTAGAAAACTTAGGGTACTTTTTGCATTTATCGTTGCACAGAAGTTTTCGACATATTCTCGATTTAAACTATGCAGCGCCCTTTCGTTGTTATACATGGGGCATTCCTGAATTATGTGCCGAATGGTTACAGCAGTCCCACATCGTTCGCACTGTCGGGCAATCTCACCCTTAAGAATGTGTTGGTGCGTTATCTGCGCATGCCCTATTCGCAGTCGGTGCATTTTTACATTTTCTTCCCTAGTGGCCTGGTCTAACACATAGAGTTTCCGTACATCTGGTTTTATTCGGGTCAGGTGAGTGTTACTTTCAGCCCATTTTTGTTGCCACATTAACCGGTTTTTCATTTTCAGGTATTCTCCTAAGTCCAACGGATGTATAAGGTTAACATCAATGTGATTACTTAACGCAGCCTGGCATGCAGCATGGTCTGCTTGATCGTTTCCAGGTATACCAATATGACTTGGTACCCATATAATAATAATTATAGCCTCTTTTCCATTTAAGAACTTGAGAATGGACTGGCATCTTTTCGTCATCGCACCAACAGGATATATTTCAGAGATCCCATTCACTGCTTCCATACAATCTGTGACGATGATAACATTTTGTCTATCGCCGATGGAGCAATATAACAACGCCTGCCACAGCGCATATTGTTCGGCAAAGCGAATTGAGGACCACGAACATAAACTCCATTCATAGGACTCTTCTCCAATCACCATCGCACTTCCAACACCTCTCTCCGTTCTAGACCCGTCAGTATAGATGATTTCATACGAAGGATATTCATTACATATATCTTGGAATTTCTGTATGTAAGTGTTACTGTTTGTAGTTGACTTTTTGTATTTCGCAAGTTCCGTTCTTATTTCGACTGCAGGAGTCATCCACGGTGCAAACTCTTGTGTAGTGTTTTCCAGAATTTCCGGAAGAGCGATACCTTGCAATTGAATATCCTCATAAAACCTCACACTTGCTGGTTCTAGTAATAGTAGGTCGCATTCTATAAGCATTTTTATCCACACTGAAAATTATGCTATTAGGGTGACGGGGTAATGACAGTAGTTTAGCCATGTAAACAGTAAGTTAACTGTTTTCTTCTCGTAATCAGTGGTGAAATTCCAGATTCGCAATGTAAGCTGGCTACCGGACTCGTAGGAAATGCTCCTATACAATACCTTATAAGCAGCATGCTGCACAGGATCTAAATATTGTCAGTAACGTTTTAACGTGCCGACGAAATAGGCAATGCTACCATAATCCATTTGGGATCTTATGAGCGCTTGAATAAATTCGAATAAGGCCTTCAAGTGCTCTAAATGAGTTCTCCAAGTAAGGGATCTATCAAACGTGAGACCAAGGAACTTAGCAGCTTCCGAGCATCTGATGTTATGGTTCGTCAGATATAACATAGGATCATAGTGTGGCCTTCTTAACCTGCAAAAATGGACGCATTGTGTTTTTTCGTGTGAAAAACTTAAACCTATATTTTCGGCATTCCCAACAATTTGATTGATTACAGGTTGTAGTTTGCGAGTTATTTCTCCTACCGTTTTCCCTGATGTGAAGATGGCTATGTCGTCAACGTACATGCATTTAGAAATGTTTTCTGGTGTATTAGAGCATATGTCATTTATTGCTATAGCAAATAGAGTACAACTAAGAGTCGATCCCTGAGGAACTCCATTCTCCAAAAGCTTATCATCGGAGAACTTATCACCAACTCTTACACGGAAACGCCTGTTTGTTAGGAAGGACTTCACTAACAATGGTAAGTTACCTCTCAAGTTATATTGGTACATTTTTTCTATTATGCCATACCTCCATGTCATATCATACGCGCCCTTCACATCAAAGAAAACAGCCACCAGATGTTCTCTTTTGCGGAATGCCTCTTGTATGCAGTGCTCTAAAAGAATCAGATGGTCGGTGGTAGATCGGTGTTTCCTGAAACCAGCCTGATATGGTACTAGGAAGTTGTTTTTCTCCAAATACCACTGTAATCGATTATTTAGCATCCTCTCCATGATTTTACCCATGCAACACGTCAGACTGATTGGTCGATAACTAGTTGCAGTCAATGGATTTTTTTTGGGTTTTAAGATTGGTATCACCACTGCTTCTTTCCATTCATCTGGGTAAGTACCCTCTGCCCATAATTTGTTATACAGATACAGTAACGATTCTTTCATTTCAGGCGTCAGATTCTTCAGCATCTCGTTTGCTATCTGGTCAGGTCCAGGTGCTGTGTTCCTGGCCTTTTGTAAAGCAAACTCCATCTCCAGCATTGTAAAAGGTAGGTTGTATACAAGATTATCGGATGTATAGAATGGTAGTTCAACCTCTCTTTGATTTTTTGTTTCAGAAAAGGTGGGGGGATAGTTTCCGGAGCTACTAACTACTGCAAACTGATTGGCCAAAGCGTTCGCGATTTCTTCTGGTTTTTCCAAGACTAGGTCTTGTGTTTGTAATGAATGTATACCTTGACTTTTATATTTGCCACATATGGATCTTATTTTTTTCCAGGTATCGCCCACATCAGCATTTGCATTGATGGTTGACGTGTATTTGATCCAACTTTGACGCTTACTCTCTAATACGACTCGTCTGCTTATTGCTCTCGCTCGTTTGAAGTTGATATGGTTTTCAACGGTAGGTTGCCTTTGGTAGAGTCTAAATGCAACACTCTTGTTTCTGATGGCTACTTTTACATCCTGATTCCACCATGGAATGGGTCTCTTCACAGGCTTGTTTCCAGTCTTTGGTATGCTCTTCATCGCTGCAACCAATATAGCCTTCGTTATCGTTTTAACATTCACGTCGGTTGGTGCTACAAGATGTTCTTGAAACAGTGTCCAGTCAGCTCTACCAGTAATGAATCTACTAGCAACTGCTTTATCTTGCATGATGGTATCAGTTTCGACGATAATTGGAAAATGATCACTGTTATGTAGATCATTTATAGTTTTCCATGTCAACCGCGGAATTAGATTTGGCGAAGCCAACGTTAAATCAATAGCATCGAAGCTTCTAGATCGGGCATTGTGGTAAGTAAATGCCCCATTGTTAAGGAGAACTATGTTATTCCTGGTCAGCCAATCTTCTAGGATATGTCCTTTATTGTCGGTTCTCATTGATCCCCATAATGTACTGTGCGCATTGAAGTCACCCATAACAATATACGGTGTTGGCAGCTGACTGATGATATTGTCAATATCCACTATTACCCAGTTCGTATTAGGTAAGTAAACATTGCACAAAGTAATTTTAAATGGGACACTTACTTTGACAGCGACCACCTGGAGGTGTGTATTTAGAGCGACTCTTTCAAATTTCACTCCGTTTTTAACTATGATTGCTACTCCCCCTGATGCCCTCTCTGCGCCGATAAAATCTTTTCGCTCAACATCATATCCTCTCAGGGAATATGGTTGACCAAGTTTGAGATGGGTTTCTTGTATACAGAGACATATGGGGTTCCGTTCATGCAATAACATTTTCAGATCCGTATATCGCTTAACAATACCTCTACAATTCCACTGTATAATGCTGTTGTACGAGTTGAATATAATAGTTATTAGTTATTTTATATTTGCAAGAATAAATAAAAAGACAAATACAGACAAAAAAATAGATAAAATGTATTCAAAACTAATAAGTAAGTATATGTATCACAGACAATAATCACATAAGAATATCGCAGTTGAGTACTAAGTGGTCACAGGCTTCTCTGCAACCTCTTCAGTTGCCTTTGGTTTTCGGGGTTTGCCTGCCGGCCACCCTTTCTTTTTTTTTGTATCTTTTTTTCCTTCCTTAGCCTCTTTTACAGCTTCCTCATCCACCGAAGTCACGCTCGAGTCTCTAGACGACCGCGACCTAGTTATCGGTGTTTTACGCTTAGCCCCTCGTGTATCTGTTTCCATATTTTCAATCTCGGAAGATGTAGTAGGTTCGGAGAAAGGGTTAAATGTTTGTTTTTCTCCTCTTGCAGTGACAGTTCCTGTAGGAACTTGGAAAGCATGTAGTGGGTAGTTTTCCAAAGCCTTTCTTGTGGTAAGTATTCTCATAAAGGTTTCCATCTCTTCTTTAATAATTTTCCTTATTTCAGGAGCAATCGATTGTGCTGGCATGGGTGCAGGCGTGGTCGTGACCTGCGCAAACGACGTACTAGTGTTCAGAAAATTAGTCTATGTCTGTTGTATTCTTTACCTTGACACGTGTAAATAACTGTTGTTATATTAACACTAATTATATATTATTATAATTATTATTATAATGTCCTATTCATGCGTCCTACCATTCTGTTTGACTGTGGGTGTAAAGCAGTGGTACTTCCCGGAGAGAGTGCTCCATTCTCGTTTCTTATCGCTGATGACTAATCTTTTATTACGCCTCGATGACTATCGGGATTTCTAGATTATTTGCTACAATATTGTTACTTAGAATACTACATATATATGCTACTTAAATAAATGTGAATCGAAATCTAACAGAAAAGTGATAGGAGGCAGGATTAGTAGTTAGGGAAAGTGTTACTGCCATTGCCATGAAACTAAAATCTCCGGACATAAGGAAGGAATGAAAATTAAGAGGAAAATAATATTACAACATTCAGGCCCAGTAGTAATTCAAGTATATTGTATATCATTTTTTGATTAATTGAAAATGTATTATTGAGTATAAATTTCATTTTAATTTACCAAATTTAATTGATTGTGAAGTGGATTTACGTTTCAGGTACGACCGCTTTGAAATAATGGATGTTATCCAAGTTATCATCGATTTTCAATTAAATCACAACCTCTGTAGGTTTACGTGGGCGTACAGAATTTGCTACCTATTCATACTTTCAAATTTTGAGAGTACAATAAAAACGTAAGGTCGAGTTTGCATTAAACAAGTAAAACTTTGTGGGAACAAATCTTTAGAAATGCACATCCGCAATCACAAAAGGTTGTGCTCACGTGACTGTGTAACGATTTAATGAAATTACGCTGACACTCCTTGTTATGCTTCTTAATAAAAACGAATGTACTCATATCTGTTTTGACGGGTGTCGTAAAAGTAATTGTATTCTGCAAATTAGCTACTAATACCTCATAATATTATCGTCCATTTAAGGTCATATTCTCTAATTTCAATAAGTTCCTGTGGTTTTAACAAGGTGTTCAATGATTTGGTACCTAATTATACTATAAAAGGGTTCCTAATCTTTCTATTAGAAATATACAGGGTGGTGCCTAGCGCAACGCAGCATAGAGATTTCAATGGTAATTTCTTTATAGTCAATGAATAGCTCCCCTAATTATTTTAGAGCAAAAGTCTAAATACGTTTTTTTAGAGAAAAAAATACCGCATCTGTTCATAGGACGTTTTTCAAAACCGTAGAAATCGACAAAATAAACAATTACATTTTTATAAAGCAGTGATGCTTTGGAATCTTTTAACAAACTACAAGCGCATCGCATCTAAGTTTTCGTTGTTTGACGTCGAACGATTTTCATATTTAATTTTAACCGAAGCAATAAAAGGCATCTATGGGGACATGGGTTAATGTTTTTTTAGAGAATGTAATCCTGCATCTGCATCAGATACTATTTGTTTATCATTTTCCGGAACAAGAGTACCTACATAATCGATGAAAAAACAACTGATTTGAGGAAGAATTGTTCTTAAACTTATATTCGGATTTTCTGCTACTGCAGCCAAAACGTTGCATGTATTGTCGTTTTCCTGATGGTTTTGACGGACACTTGGAACGTTATTGCACTTGCAAATAATGAAACGTGATCGGTGTTTTTTTTAGGTAGTTCCAAGGCATATCTGATTTATTGTAAAATGAACCTTTTTATTTTTTCTATTTCGGTGTTACAATGAGAATTTTGTGCAACTGTTTTCGGCAAAAACAGTGTTTCAATGAGTTCCATTGTAACATTGTTTTTGGTAACTTTTCATCTCTAAGCCCAGTCTCT